AAAAAATAAATGTACTTATTACCTGACTTACGTAACTGTAACCCTTCTGTGCATCACCTTTATAATAACAATTTTTAAAAAATGGTTTCACCTCCAGATGACCTTCAAGCTCTGTTCCATAAATCACAAGTGCAGGTTAAGCTAGCGGCGTAAATGGCCTAAGGATAAGAGATAGTTATCCATCAGTTGCTTAATAGAGAACAAGCTGGGACTATCAATACATCTGGTACAACAATAAAGAATGAACGATGAAAACACCTGGACATAATGAGACAGCAGACACAAGAGGGTGCTGAGAAAAGGAGACAGACAGTTGCAGGAATTCTGGACCAGAGAAACAGCACACAGCGAGCTTCCTGGGCTTCTTCATTGCTTCCCATGTATCTTGGACAAGCTTTTGCAGTGGGCCCATCTGAAAGCAAAGATACAGCTCCAAGGAAAGCCTAGGCAGGTGATGCCAGTTCACAGTAGTGATGGAATGTAGCCCCTTCATTTCTACTGAATGGCTCCAATCTGTTTAGAATCGTTGGTATGACATTTTGACCCCTCAAATCAAAGATCACACTCACAGAAACTCACAATAGTTTTAATCCCTCTTGGAAAGCTGTGGTTTATGACAATGATGCATGGTAGGAGATATCGGAATATTTCTAGTCCTTAGAGATAAGTTGAGAGCGAAGACTTGACAGAAAGGGCCTTCCTTGTACTTGTGACCATTTGGTTTCCATTCTTCAGTTTTATAAGGAAAACTACATGGAAGGTGGCATAGTTTATTGCCTAGTGAATTGCCAGATTCTAGTGAAACACTAGAGTGATTTCTGATCCTCATTTACAGTTTCATGAAGCTACAGTGAATCGGATAGTTTTTCCTTGTGAAAGAAATGCTCTGCAAGCAGAGAGAAGTAGTTTAGTAACCAGAGTGTCCTGCAGCATAATAGCTTGGTCATGTGATCTCAAAGGAAAAATAACATGATCCTACCATGATACATTTATTTAGCACTTACTTATGGCACAAGAGAAAAACTTTCATTTAAAATGTAGAAATACCATTGTACTCCAGGTTCCAATGTCTCCCTTAGACATTACTATACTTCTTCTGACTTGTGTAAGCCAAAGAGTGAATTCTGATCAAAAAGATCTGTGAGCAGAGAATTCGATGCAATACATTCTTTTCCTCTTCATCTCTCAAGAAAGAATAAATTAAATGGGGTTCTTTCCAAAGTTTGTGGTCTTAAGTGAGTGTTTTTCTCCCTCTGGAACTAATATCACATAAAACAAATAAGATGGTCACAATTGGCAAAAGTGTCTCTCAGCTCCCACAGGAGAATTGAACTGCCATTGCCAACCTTCTTCCCTCCTGGGTCTTGGCAGAGATGTAGAGAAAGTCCTGATTGCCCCATAAAGCCCTCAGAACCCACAGATCTTTATCGCAGTAGAGCACTTCCCAAGAAGGACATGGGTGCCCGGACCCCAGAGTCCTGCAGAAGGCAGACTCCTGCCACACTGGACACAGCCACTATCTTAGGGCCCAGGGCTGTCCTCTCCTTTGGTCCAGGCCATCAGCTTGAAGGCAGTGGGGTAATCTGTGCTCATTCACTCCTGCTTGCTGTAGGAAGTGGTTCATCACATCTGTTTGATTGCTGAATCCTGTTTTTCTCCTTCTTCCTCTTTTAGAATCAGTGAGGGGTCGCTCTTCACATCACCCCACCCCATCAGCGGCCCCTGAGCCACGGTAAGTAACCTCCGCCAGAGCAGCTTAACTGTTTTGGAAGCTCTGTTTCAGGCTCCGATGGCACAGAGAGACACAAAACGTAAGTGTTTGATGTCTGTCCTTTCATCCACTCTAATTACCAGCAGTCACTATGATGCTCTCATGCTCTGGAATACATGTACCCCCAGTTATGCAACGAGCAGAAGGAATAGAGGCTTCGTATTAGGTTTTAGGCATGTCTCTTGGTGTTAAGATAGAAATAAGCACCCCAAAGTACAATCACAATGTGTACATCCATGCTCGCTGAACTCCTGGTACTACAGACGGCCACAACTCCCTGGCAATTTATTTGTGACAGTTCATCAAAAATCTGCTGTTGTCCTGGAGAGAAGGACAGCTCTTAGACCTCACCTTTGCGCAGAACGCAGACAAAATTAGAGGAGGGTGTGGTATGTGTGGCCCGTGCAAAACCAGAAAGGAGTGAGGCTGTGTGGCCAGTATTGGAGTGTGCAGTGAAGAGTGGCCTGTTTGAGGACGCTGAAGTGGAATAACAGCTCTTATGAACACAAAGCGTCCACATATTTTGCAGTGAAATACTACATACAATATCCTTTGCTCTCGGTCTTCCTCTAGAGCGGAAAGTTTCGTGCATGAACTGGTATTGCTAACTATGTTCGTCTTTGTTTCCTTAACACACATGAGCTGGAGCCGGAGAGATTTTCTTCTTTGTGTGTGTCTCTCAGAATCTGATATGACTGTTCTTTCTCTTGCTTCCACCAGGCTCTGGATTGATGATTGTGTCTTTCCTAAAGCCATTCACTCTCATCAGCACTCAGGGTACAATATGAGGTCATTTCATCCTGCCAACAAACCTTCAGTGATTACTTACTGCCCATATTTCAGGATGTCTCTTGATTGCTGTGCTATTATATATAAAGGTCCTTATGACCTGTTCCTCCATCCCAACCTCTACCCATTCCTTTTCTGTCCCTTCATTCTCACCCAGCCACTAGGCCATTATTTTCTGGAACAGGCAAGGTTGTTTATGTCCTTTATGCCTTTTTCCACTCTGATGCCTCTGCCCAGATTGCTGCTTCACACACATTATAGACATAATACCTTAGCCAGTGATTATCTAGCTTTGGATACATTTACCAAGCATGTTCCTTTAGCTTTGTGTGTGTGAATACATTCTTGTGCATTCCCACATTGTTTTCTTTTTTTCTCTTCCTATTTATGATCAAATCTAAAGGCCTGGGCCTATAACAAAATTTTACTAGGACTAACTAACATTTTGGACACAGTCCTAAATTTGAAATGTGAACAAAAATGATGGTGGGTTCCAGATCTGATGTTGTTCCTGTATTATGAGTCAGCTTGGGGGTTCAGGGCACCTCCAGCTGTAGGTCAGGAAGACCTGGGCGCCACTAGATGTTATCCCTCTCACAGTGTGTTCTGTGAAATTACAGTGACAATGTCTTATTGACATTATTTTGTGGACTTAATGGGCTATTATGTGAAAAAATCACTTAGCAAATTCCCAGGCATTTAGTAAATGTTCAATGGGTTGTTATTAGAGGTGGTTAGAGCCTGCTAACACTCATCAAAACAAAACCACAGCAAAGTCTTGTCCATTCCCACGGCTTTAACTCTGAGGCAAACACCCGTTTTCCTATCATAGAAAATGGCAACACCTCTATGTCCCCAGCTGGTGTATGTGGGATTTCTCTTGATCTCTTTCCTCTCTCTTCCATACTCATAGGGATTACTGTGACATAGTTTACATCTAGCATGTATCTTCAGTCTGCCCGATTCCCTGAATGCTGTCAAGGTCACTGTCACCTTCTCTGAACAGCCCTCAGCTAACCCTCACAACTCTCACGATTGCAGGCTGTGCATTCCTTTAGGACTTCCAGGTCCCTTTCCGTGATGTAACCACATCATGCTCCTCTCAATCTTTAATCCTTGGCTTGCTTTACCTGCAGGTGGACTAGTATTTCATTTCCTGTGACCTGCTCCAGCCCTTCCTACCACTCCCACCACGCCTGGCTCCCTCCCCACCCATTTGAGCAACAATGGCGGCTTCATTTCAACAAAGCTCTCTCCCACCTGAGCTCCTCAGAGGCTGGGCCTTGGAATCTTTCTCTGTCCAAATGTTACCTCCTTAGAGATCAGATGGACCTTCCACACTAATCTTTTGTATTTCTAACATTCATAGACAATATCTAACATATATTTATTTATTCACTTTTATTTTGCTTAAGAATCTCTTCACCCAGAGGCTCCTATGTTCCCCCTAAAGAACTTAAACTTCCAGAGAGCAAATGTCCATATTTGTTTCACTTCACACTTCTTCATGGCTCCCAGCACACTCCGACCCTGTTGTCCTATATTTTCTTCTTTACAGCTCTAATGATGACTAAAATACCCTAGAATGCTTATTATCATTTATAGTTGATATAAAATATGATTTTCTTTATCTCATTTGGATTTTGTCACATAATGACATGAGCTGAATGCATATTAATACTTCTATTTACAAAATACCCCCTGCATCTCAGAAAGAGTAAGATATAAAATTGCACAGCCAATCAGTAGAATATGTGGGATAGGAATGACGTATCGGTGTTTCACACTGAATAGTCCAATTCTTATCTCCTTACATGCTTCATTGATCATGAGATGGGAGGGGGAAGAAAGCACTTGGAAGGCTGAATGAGTCCTAGTCCTTAATTGTGAGCTGAAGATGGACAGGTAGGCAGGTGTGGCCTCTGGAGCTGTCAGGTAACATGGAGTGGTGGGGAGGGTTAGCAAACTCGCTTAGGAAGCAGCTGATCACAAAGCAGCTGTAGGATATTAGATAGCACAGAGCTTCAGGTGGACTTCATTGTAATTCCTACTCTGCATCAATGAGAAGTCGGTAAGTTGCTTGATATTGCTTCAAGACATACCTTATTGATTATTTAAATGGACATAATAACATGTAAAGATGCTGTGATGATTAAATCATGTTACTTGTGTATGGTGTCTGGTTTGTGATCCAACCTGGACTGTGCTATTGAAAGTACCTGTTCTATGCCAGGTAGGGTGGTACACACCTGAATCTCAGCCCTAGAGGATTACGAGTTTGAAGCTAGCATAGACGAGACAGTGAGACCTTGTTTTCAAACCCCAAACCCACGAGGACATTAGTAACAACTCTTCTGTGACTTGTAGACAGCCAAGTCAAGAATGAGAGATGTGAACTGGAGCCGGATTCCACTCAAGTGACTCTGGATCCCCTAGGAAAGCTAAGCCCTGTGTCTTTGATATGGAAGTGGAGAACCAGACAAGGGTCACCAAGTTCATTCTGGTGGGGTTCCCCGGGAGCCTGGGCATGCGTGCCGCAGTGTTCCTCATGTTCCTCGTGGCCTATATTCTGACAGTAGCGGAGAACGTGATCATCATCCTGCTGGTGCAGCAGAACCGGCCACTACACAAGCCTATGTACTTCTTCCTGGCCAACCTGTCCTTCCTGGAGACCTGGTACATTTCCGTGACCGTGCCCAAGTTGCTGTTCAGCTTTTGGTCCCTGAGCAACAGCATCTCCTTCACTCACTGCATGATCCAGCTTTACTTCTTCATCGCACTCATGTGCACAGAGTGCGTCCTCCTGGCCGCCATGGCCTACGACCGTTATGTAGCCATCTGCCGCCCTCTGCACTACCCCACCATCATGAGCCACGGGCTCTGTTTCCGCCTGGCTCTTGGCTCCTGGGCCATCGGCTTTGGCATCTCTCTGGCGAAGATCTACTTCATCTCCCGCCTTAGCTTCTGTGGCCCCAATGTCATCAATCACTTCTTCTGTGATATCTCTCCAGTGCTCAACCTCTCCTGCACAGACATGTCTGTAGCCGAGCTGGTGGATTTTGTCTTGGCCCTGATCATCTTCCTCTTTCCCCTGTCAATCACTGTCCTGTCCTATGGATGCATCCTGGCCACGGTGTTACGCATGCCCACAGGAAAACAGAAAGCCTTCTCCACTTGTGCTTCCCACCTCGTGGTGGTCACTATCTTCTACTCAGCCACTATTTTCATGTATGCCCGGCCCCGAGCCATCCATGCCTTCAACATGAACAAGATCATTTCCATCTTCTATGCTATTGTCACTCCCGCCTTCAACCCTTTCATTTATTGCCTAAGAAATCGAGAGGTAAAAGAAGCTCTGAAGAAGCTGATCCATTGCCAGGCTGTTAGATCTGACTAGTCCGTTGTAATGGATGGGGAAGAAGAACATTGACTTGCAGGAGGGTGCATACACGCTTTGCCTCCCTCTGGCCTTTCTCTTCCAGTGTCTCAGCTGGACATCAGGAGGTTCGTATGACTTCAGTGTGACCACGGTGACCTCAAGCCCTGGTCTCCATTTGCACACGTGGTCACTGCTTCTAAGGGCACACAGCAGAGCTAAAGAAAAGGACTTGTGTTTGTAAGGTTGCAAAATTTATCACTAAGTTTAAATAGGGTGGTAGCTGATAGTGTATGCAACAGATATTTTGGGATCTAGCAAGCATTAAAATCTTTAGGACCCACAGATTTGAAGGTGGCTTTTTGATTTCCCAAATCAAAGCAGCTCCCTGCACAATCCCCATCCTCCACATGTTGAGACTCATTCCTAGAAGCAAAGACTAGAGGCTGACCCTGGATCCTGACAAGACAACTTTCCAGTTCCTGCCTACCCTTTCTGCCTCTGGGACAGTGTGCTTCTTTTCAGGTGTCAGTGAATCCTACTTTTTATGATTACATTTTGTGGTCTTGTATTGAACTGTATATTTTCATTCACATAAATATTTGATGTCACAATGTTTGTATCCTCCAATGGATGAACATAAAGTAAATGACAAAAAGTATCATCAAATATAGTAATTGACAGATGAACCTGCCTTTACTGGTCTTTTCTTCTGATGCAAAGTTCTCTCAATTCTCTATCTATCTATCTATCTATCTATCTATCCCTTTCTTCCTTTCTTTCCTTCTTTCTTCTTTCTTTCTTCTTCTTCTGGCCTATGTTCTTTATCCACTCATCTCGGACACAATTAACTAGCCTGATGTTAGGATTTCATGGAGGTTTTCCTTCCACTTCATTGTGAATCTCAACTCTCCTCATTTATTTATCTGATACAATCTTGCCAGTGGCAGAGGGAGTTTTACATTAAGCCGCATCCCAGGTAACAAGCCCCTGTCACCTGGTGGTGTGTTTTTATGAATAGTCTTAACCAGGAGCACTTATTTCCTCCATCTAAGGACAAGCAACACCTCAAGCATGGATTCTCTTTCTGTTCAACTCAGAAGCGTAGGGTGGGATTTTTTTCTCTATTGTAGGAACGGCCACAACAGACACTCAAGGAATCAAATAACATACTCCCTTCTAGAGTAGAGGATAGAGGTCAAAACCCAGGTCTCCTGATTCTGAGCCTTGTGTCCTTTCTGCCACTTACATGGTTTCCCTAGAGAGAAACATGCTTCTTTGGAGTCTAAGTGTGGAAGCTAATTACAAAGGGATGTGAATAGCCTTATGCAGAGCACATTTAATAAAATAGAAATGGACAAGTGTGATGTTAAGTCACAGAAAAGAAACAAAGGTGAAATAGAAGCACAGCTCTTTTCAGAGAAAACATGTTCAAAAGGAAACGATGCTTGTTATGGAAATGGTTTAATGTGTGACCCTGGGCTATATTTTGGTCCCTTCAGGCAATGAAGAAGTCATTACGAATGTATTCCACTGTCTTGGTAATTAAATGAAAAGCTAGTCACTCTTACAGGCCTTGTATACAACTGGGAAAACGGAGATGGGGAACAAAGATGGTAGAATATCTACTGAGGCCCAATATCATGTTGTATCAGAGGAGCGTGAGTAAAATACACAATCAGTCAAACAACCGTGCTTGCTTTCTGGGAGGATCTCTTGATCACCATCTCCCACGGTTACCTCCGAGTTAGACAAGACGGAAGTCTCTCATTCTAGGAGAAGTGTGATCACAACAGGCCTCTTTATTGGATTATTTAACAGTCAGACTTAAAAGACCACTTTGGGACACAATAGGTACCAATGACAGAAGGACATCAAATAAGTCCAACTACTAAGGATAATGTCAGACATTTCTCTCTTCAGTGGCTCTTATACACAGCTGAGAGAGCCTCATCAAGTGGGTATAGGAGTTTACCTGACTTAAGAGCTCATGATTCATGGAAGCCAGTGCTTCTTAGGAGAACTGCAAAGACAATTTTTGAGATCTTCACCAGTTATCAAAATCATAACACAAGCTAGGCGCTGGTAGCTCATGCCTGTGCTACTCGTAGCTACTCAGGAAGCTGAGATCTAAGGATCACAGTTCAAAGCCAGCCTGGGCAAGAAAGTCTGTGAGACTCTTGTTTCCAATTACCACCAGAAAACCAGAAGTGGTGTTGTGGCTCAAGTGGCAGAGCACTAGCCTTGAGCTGAAAAGCTGAGGGACAGCGCCCAGGCCCAGAGTTCAAGACCCATGACTGACAAAAAAAATCACAACACATACTAAAGCCCAGCATATACATTTAAATAACTATTTATAGCTAATTTTTGTTCCTCCATGTTGAGTTATAATTTACCAACAAGAAGTCCATTTTTTAAAGAGCAATGTGGGCCAACATTTATAGTTGACCAACAATATACAGTTGATATGTACCATCCTATATGTTCTTCACGTTTATAGAACCAAAATCACATTACTAACTAGGGCAGGGCATTTAAAAGAGGTTATTTCTTCTCTTGGGCGTAGGAAGCACAAGACTTATTTCTTGACTCGCCTCTTGGACTCTGGAGCTATTTCAAAAGTTGAGTAATCAGACTATTAGCAATATGCCTCCAAGTTGTTCTATCAATAAAACTTTAAGTTTTGACTGGACTTTTTTCCTTTAGTACCATCAGTTTAAGTTGGTGATAAAAGCAAACTAATTGAATCTGATGTTAAGTCTAGGAATTCTATACATCCTTGAAGTAAGCCTTCCACACCCTCCTATTTCTTCTTGATCCCTTACACTTTGAATATTGTCTCTGGGTAAATTGAGATATAAATGAGAATATAATATATTATATATACTATGCTATATATATAATATATATCACTATGTGTAATATAATAGTATATAATTGAAATATAAATGAGAATAACTGATAACTTGCAGTTGGTCCCTAATCTGTATCTCTTGCTATGGAAGGAATAGCAAATTTGTGTCAGGAATAACAGGAATTTCAGAAGTTTCCTGAAATGACTTCCTACATCACATTGGGTTCTCACATTAAAACAGAATGACCAGGGGCTGAGAAGGTGACTCAGTGGTAGAGCGCTTGCCTTGCATGCATCAGGCCCTAGGTTCGATCCCTCAGCACCAAGAAAGAAAAAAGCAAAAAGAAAAAAGCCAGAAGTGGCACTGTGGCTCAAGTGGTAGAGCGCTAGCCTTGAGCTGAAGAGCTGAGGGACAGCGCCCAGGCCCTGAGTTCAAGCCCCATGACCGGACCCCCCCCCAAAAAAAACAAAACAAAATAAAAAAACCAGAATGATCATGAGTTCATTGTCAGGTTCATTAGAACACCTTTTGATTGGGAAATTTTTGATCCCACAAGGAACTGTACAGGTGAAGAACCATGTCAGGGTAACATGTAGGATTTAGGTACATTTGTTAAAAATTTCTAATGCATAATATGGCCTACGCACGAAGCTGCTAATTGTTTACTTGATATTAAAATGGGGAAGTATCAAATGATGCAAGAAGGCTCCTAGATAAAAGCAGCCTCATCAGCCTTCCTCCGGTTGCCATGGTAACGATCACTGAGCACAGCCAAAGGCTGCTGTTATCTCTGCAGAAAGCATAGCATTTGGGATGTTTCCCTTTTTTGATTCATATTTCAATCGAGATATTGAAAACTCCCAAGGTGTGCTGACAGGATGTGATTGATAATAATTGGCTCACAAGAAAGAATCTGGAAATAGAGTTACTGAATTTTAAGAAATGTTTGCAAAGGAGTGGGAAGAATGGAGAGATTTTTGTCTCCCTTCTTCACTACATCAGGTTAAATAATTTTTGTTTTCATATTTATTGCTTTCTTTTGTCTCAGTTCATGAAAGTTTTAATGTCTATTAGTAGACTGCAATATATTAATAAATTGCAATTATCAAGGAAATACATATGCTTGTAATTTCAAAATTATCTTTAAGTTCCACTCACCATGCCAATTTATGAGTATAATGCATCTTTAAAATTTTTTATTGTTATTATCAAGGTGATGTACAAAGAAGTCATAAATCAGGTAACGGGTACATTTCTTTTTGGACAATTTCACTCCTTCCTCGCTCTCTCCCAGTTTTCCTTTCTCTTTTCCTTTCTCTTCCTCACCCACAAATTTTATAGTTCATTTCCGTAGTGTCTAGTAAGTACCATGACGCCATTTGTTCATCTTCTCTCTCTCCAGTTGTGTCCCTCTTACCCTCCCAAAGACAGATGAACAAATATGACAAAAAGAAAACAAAACAGCAACAAAGAGAATAAAAGAAAGCCTCTTGTGTCCGCTTCCTGGAGTTCATCTCGATTAATATTATTTTACATGATCATATGCACATAAGTATTGCCCCTTTGTGCTCCTCTCCTAAGAATATACTCCTTTGGTGTCACTAGGTATGAATGCATAGAATCCTGTGTAATCTATCATGTTCCCATGTATTTTAGGTCTAGCTTCCACAGAGGAGAGAAAACACACGTTGTTTGTCTTTTTGAGTTGAGTACAATGCATCCTGATCAGCATTACCCCTTCCACTATTCTCCCTCATCCTTTTCCAACCCAACCAGTCTCCTCAAATTACTTCATTCCATTTTCACATATGCACATTGAACACTATGACTGCTGCTGCCCACCCTTCCCTTCTCCAGTCATCCGCTTCCCTCCCCTTAAACCTTGCTTCCTTCTGATAAAACCTATTTCAGCTTCCTAGCATTTATTTGGATAAACTGTGAGTTAGTCGATTACTGAAATCCTCTCCATCCTTCAGTCCAAGTTGCTTGCATATAACTGTACATGAGCCTGCATGTTTCATTATGTTCATAATTTAGATCTAATTCCATATGTGGAATATACGTGTCCCTTGTTTCCCTGAGCCTGACTTACTTCACTTAACGAAATCAGTTCGTTATTACTTCTTTTGAAGGTACAATATCCCAACACCAGCCAAATTCAATGCCAATCTATTTATATTAGCTGACTCATTAGCTGACTTCTCTTCACACATCTGCTGTCATGGACGAGGCCTTGGTTTTCTGCACAGACCTTTCTTGGGGTTTCAGCTTGATTTTCCCACTTCAGCTACTCCCCAGCTCCTGTCCTTAATCCTGATGAACTTTGCTATCTTAGATACTTCACATAAAATGCTATTACAATGTGTATACATACGTCCAAGCTCAACCAAATGTATACATTAACTGTGCACAGATTTGTATATCAATAATACCTCAGTAATGAAACAAAATTATAGAATTTTAGAGTTTTATAAAATATATAAATTTTTACTTGTAAAGAAATAGCCATGTATCTTTTTAAGAAGTTATATAGGGCCGGGCATAACCTGTGGTTATGGAGAAAGAGATCTGAGAATTGAGTTTTGAAGCAAGCCCAAGCAGAAAAGTCCACTAGATTTCATTTCCATTTATTTGGCAAAATGTAGGACTATAGGTACGGCTAATATGGTAGAGACCAGATAGGAACAATCCAACAGTGAGTGCATGAGCTCTTAGTTCAAGCCCCAGTACTATCACCCTGCCCCCACAAAGTTATTTGAAATAATATTTACCCATTGACCTAAACTACATCATTTAAAAATATTTATGGATTGCCTTTTCTGTATACAATACTAAGATAGCTGTCTGAGACCACACAAAGTTAAGTCATTCACAGATACTCTTTAAGATAAAGGAAATGGAAAATGTATTTGAGATGATAATGCAAATAAAAATGAGAACTTTCAGAGGGTGCATATATTACTTTCAGATACTGGAATAAGCCTTACTATTCGTGGAAATTCATTGTTATTTTGGATCAGTTTCGGATGTTGGGTTCAACTTGATTGTCACATAACAAAACATATCAGAGGAGACAATGGGCAATATTCAATATCAAACTAATGTCTTTGGATTATATTCAATAGATAATAGCACAAACTGAAGACAGCATAACTCACAGACTCATGACCAGAGCTGTGGTTATATAGATATACGTGCTGATAGTGAGGCTGTGCAGTGAGCATGAGCAAAAAGAAACAGGGTTGTAGGTTGGAGGTGTGTGGCAAAACGCACAATCATGTGAGAAATGAAGATGGCCTGAAGATGGGTGATGGAAAGAGTGATAAAGACCACGAGGCCTTGGGCCACACAGAGAAGGATGGACTGAAGGGAAAGCTAGGAAAATGAGACCACATGACAGACCTGGAGGCAGTTTCTGTTTTGTGAATGATGGAATAAATCAGTGATTTTCTGGAATTATTCATCTTAAACAATTGAGATCTCAAGATGAAGATTAATAAGAATAAAATAAGTAATAGAATAAGTAAGTAAAAAAGTAAGATGAATAAGTTTCAGGAAATCTACTGTATAGTGTAGTACACGTAGTTGAGAATATTATAAAATTTGTTTAAAATAGGTTCAAAGGACAGATGTCATTTCAAGTGCTCTCTTCAAAAAAGGTAAGGAGGCAGACAGGCAAAACACCTCAATATGCAAAGGATTTTGGGAGGTAATGAAGATGTTTGATACCTTGATTGGTTTGATGTTTTTATAGGTGCATGAATATATCTCAAAAGTGTTTCTTAAATGACAACCATTATGGCCAATTAATTTATACCAGGATATTCATTTCTATCACTCTTTAAAAAAAAATCAGTTGTTAAGCAGTGTTTATTTGGGGCTGGTTCCATCTAGTGGGTAATGTGAGAAATGCTCGTCAATTAAATTATACTGGGGTGTTGGTACTGAGGCCAGAACCATCACCTGGTCTCCAAGTTCATAACTGTCCAAGTTAATAACCTGAGATTTAGAAACAAAGAAGCATCTGAAAGTCCACATAAAGCCGTGCATCTGTCATTCAACAGAAGCTTTTAGATTGGACGCATAGAATTATAAGGCATGGTTTTTAGTCTTACATTCTTTTCCAACCATGATAAAAAATACTTTATTCAATATGAGCAAAACTGCACAATAAAGTATAGCGAGATTTTTTGAAGAATTCAGAAGAATAAGAAAAGCATGCTAAGTGAAAACACACAGAAAGTTTTCCGAAAAGGTGGAATTTGTAGTAATTTTGCAAGTTGTGTAGGGTTTGGATAGCTAGAGAAGGCAGGAAGAGGCATTCAATGCAGTGAAAAGAGACCGAGTGAACAGTGAACACCAAAATAAGATGAGAGGGGGGAAAGCCATTAAGTCACTTAAGGGACTTGCAAGCTGACCTGACCAAATAAAGGAAGGCTCTTACTTAATCTGGTACATGAAGGTGAAGCACAATCCATGCACTAGAAGCACTTTGCTGACTCAGGGCCATGCATAAACTCAAAGCCAAAGGCTTGGAGCTAATCATTTAAGTGCTTGAAGTAATAGTTATGGACATGATCAGAGTAAATTTAAAAATGTTCAAATACTATATGATAGCCCTTTTCTAGCTCAGCAAAAGATTTCTACTAAAGGATTACTGCATTGATTTGAAAGCTGTTATATTTCAAATACCTTTAAGGAAAACAGTGGAGCCTTGGAATATTGTATAAAGGGTTCTAATGAATTCATCCAATGTTATTTGATTATTATGTGTGACTTCAAAATGGTAATAAATAAACAGATGAAAGGAAGCATAAGTGGTAGGGAGGAGATAACTCTGGTGACTTCTGTATTTATTTACTTTTTGCATCATTGGCATTCCACTCTACTTTGACTTGGTAGTTCTCAAATTCATGTTGCTCACATTTCTAAAGCATGCTCTTTTCAGAGCCAGAAAATTGATAGAATTCCAAAACTGAATATAGGACTTTTCCCTTTGCATTTTATTTGTGTATTTTTTTCCCTTCGGTTGTGGGGCCTGAATTCTGGAGCCTGGGCACTGTCCCTCAGCTCGTCAGCTCAAGGCTAGTGTTCTACCACTCGAGCCACAGTGCCACTTCCAGCCTTTTCTGCTTATGTGGTGCTGAGGTATTGAACCCAAGGCCTCATGCATGCAAGGCAAGCGCTCTACCACTGAGCTTCCCAGCCCCCTTTTTATTTGTTTTTAAAAATAATAATCTAAAGTTCAGTCTGTATAGAAGAGAATGAGTTCTTTCTTCTCCTTGTCTTATAAGTGGAACTGGATTTTGAAGAGGTATGACAGTGTAAAATTAGAGATATAAATCCAACTCTATTATTTTCTAGCACAGTTACTGGTTTCAGGACACTTATTTTGTAAGCCTTTTTGGCCTTCCTGCTTTGGGAGAACATCTTCATCAACATTTTCCAATATGTATTTATTCATAGCTTTCAGTTTGGATCACTGACATGTCTCTCTAGCTATCTAGCAGTAATATATTATTTAAACCCCTATGATATTATGATGTCTCTCACATTACTCTTCTTAGGATTTCCATTATTTTCTTCTAGTTATCTGTCATCCTAATTTAGAAAAAAAATCCTATTCTTACCTGCACCAGAATTGCATGCAAGTTATTGATTTGTCTGGAGAAATTAGCATATTTTGGTAATATTTGGTCATATTGGTTGCATCATGAAGAAGCACTTTAAGTTATCATTTACACTGAATTTATGCATTTGCCAAATCCAAAAATTTTAAATACTTTATACACCTAATTTTCTGTGTTTATAATACATGATTTTTAAAATTTTTTTATTATTTTATTTATTTATTTATATTGTGAAAATACTGTACAGAGGAGTTACAATTACATGGGCAAGATAATGAGTACATTTCTTACCAGGCATTGTTGCCTCCTCCTTGTATAATACATGGTTTTTAAATTTTTGTTTAGAACACTGATTCTAACTTTTGAAATTAGTGTCGCTTGAGACTTAATATCTTCCATTTATTTTCACTGGCTCTTGAAAAGCAGGTTAATTATTTTCAAGACTCACATTGCTTAGATTTACATGACTATTTATGCTACAAGTCCCTTCTTTTAATTTTAATTTTCTCCATGATTTGGGTGGGGTTAGATAGATGAGTTAATGTCACCAGTTATTTCTGTTTTCTTTAATTACTTATAATTTTTTCTTTTTAAAATTTTACATTATTGTAAAGATGCTGTACAGAGGAGTTAACATTACATGAGTAAGGTATAGTTTTTATTGCATGAAAATTAACCCTTCTTAGTTTGCAGTTCATGTAGTACCTTTTGTTCTAATCATATTATTTGGTCCTGATAAATTTTTATATGATATAGATGTTTTCAGTCTGCTTAAACTTCCTCTGATAGTAAGTTTACAACTCAGCTTTTACTTTTGTTTGCATTCTTCCATTGCTCCATTTTCTTTCTAGACATTCTAGATCTCCTTGGTTTGTCTGCTTCTTGTGAGCAGAGTACAAGTGAGCTTTCTTTTTTAAAAAATCCACTTTTTTAAAAAGCAAGCTTAGGTCTATTGACATTTATTGTTATAGGGAAAACACTTGGTCTGAGTTCAATCATCTGGCTTTATGTTGAGGTTGTTGGATTTATATATTTGTAAAGCTATGTTGTATCTTTATCTCTCTGGGGAAATAAAAATAAAAAACTACCTTGAGATTCCAAGTTAGAATTACTCTACCCAGTTAGAATCACTATTAGCAATGAACTAACAAAAATTCCCAATGCTGGCAATGATGAAGGGAAAAGAACCTTGGATGCTATTGGTGGAGTGAGCAGCCACTATGGATATCAGTATGGAGATGTTTCCAAACAACAACAATGAAAAATAGAACTAGCAAATGGCTTTTCTACAGGATTCCTAAGAACATACCTGAACATCAGCCTATGTAAGAGACACCAGCATAGCAATGTTTACTGTGACACAATTTACAAACAATCAAGGTATGAAATCAGACTAGGTGCCTATCAGTGGAATTCAAATCGCAGTACTGCCCCAAACCAGAACAGATTATTTCCACATACTTAATTTCATTCTGAAATATAACTAAAAATCATTTGAAGAAAAATTAAAGAATATAGCTACAGGACTCTAAAGCTATGCCTTTATTCCAATTGAGTATGTTTAGGAATGCAAAAAGGAGGGAAAGGAGGAAACAGCCAGAGAGTCTACAGAATGAATGAGATGGTAGCCTTTGTGGATGAGGGCAATGATACAGACATTGTCATCTGCACAGTGTTCCAGAAGACAGGAGAGAAATGGACACCATCAAAAGATCCTAGACAGCTAAGCAAACACAGATCAAAGTTCCAGAGATGAAAACTCTATTGTCTCGGGTTGAAATGCTCTTTGTAGGGCTTCCATTTGTGCTTAAGTAGGCTTTATCCTGGGCGTAGAAGGTTGCCTTAACCTTTGAAAATCAATGAATATAATTACACCTATTAAAAAAATCAAACAGTAAAAATTCTATGTTCACCTTAATAAATGCAGAAAAGGTTTTTGAAGTCTGCTCATGATAGAAAGTCTCATCAAATTAAGAATAGATAGGAAAGCCTTCAGATGGTGAAAGACTAAATTTCCCCTTGGCAGGAACAAGGCGAGACCTAGACTTTGTTCCCTTACTGAGTATGCACCCGTGGTCTGAGGCTAGAGATGTTTTTATTCTGCATTTCTAGTATTAGTACTTTTTATTTCTCTTTTTTTCCCTTGTACTTCCTTCAGACTTTAGTGTGGCCCTGAATTACGTCAATGACAGTCTCTTGCTCTGTTCTTGGTCTTTATCTAAACGTGTGAATGGGGAAAGAGCTTGCAATGAGAAGACGTGGGAACTCTTGTCTCACGAGAGAGGGTAGCTGCACCAAGAGAGCTTCACCTCTGCCACCCTGCAACTGAGTCCCCAGCCTCCTCCTCTGAAGACCATGGGCCCCAGGTCCTTGGCACAGTTGTCTGCTTAGAGTGTTCCCCTGTAATTAACAGTGGCAAAGTTTTAATGAACCTCATAAGGAGATTTGGGTTTTTTTTTCCTTGGACACTTTTTAAAATCCAGAAATAGTTTTTATTCCTTTGAGGTCAATTAAAAAAAAAAAGGTGTTTTTTTTTTTTCATCTTTGTCAAGATGCCCGAAGCAACTTGCCAGCTGTGTCAGTTTAACGAGTTCTCTAAAGGGCTCCTGAGCCAGGAGGGTCCTTCGGGCACTGAGCACAAGCGCAGAGCTCTGGGGAACAAGGGCCTAAGGCTGCGGAGAGTCCAGAAGGCAGGTTCCCAGAGGCTTTGGCCTTTCAGTACAAACCTCTGTTATTTGTTCTCAGCCTGAAGGAGGAAGAGAAGAAAGGGGAGGGGACAGAGGGGCAGAGGAGAAAGGGGGGGGGGAGCAGGAGGGGAGGAAAGAGTGGAAGGGAAGGGAGGGGGGAAGGGAGGGGGGAAGAGAGAGGTTAGACTCTCTCAATTCGTTTTTCTATTGAAGTTCACACTTTGAGCAACTGGCTAGGTCCTCTGTCAGCCACATAGGAGGGGCTTGGGTGTTACGCACCATTCACTCTTACTAGTCCTGTCTCTAGACTCATCTTAAACTAACCTAATGGTTGTGCCACAAAGATAGCGTACAGATGCTTCCCTCACACAAATCAGATTGGACATTTCACGGAACCGAGTAATTCATGATGGACAATGTTTAGTAATTCAAAGGCCTACGTAGAACTCACTTTGCATCCTTGAGGGCAAGCAATGGGGAAACCTAACCTTTATTGCTAATAGGAGTACAGCAGTTATTGTGGGACGTGTGACCTTACATTCACGTTGCTTTTTATGGTCACCACCTATGATATCTCCCATCAGTGTGGAGGTGAAGATAAATGAAACCTGGGATGCATTAGATCCACTATAGACAGGACAGTCAGGGGACACTTTGCCATAGGGCCTCGTGGGAATGAAGCTTCAGATTCTGATTTACAGGCAAATGATACCCCTATTCTCAAATACTCCATAAAAGATAAACCATGAACCTATTAATAATCAAGAGTTTTTTTTCTGAATATGGTAGGTAATTTGCATGTGTGAAAGCTTAGGTCCATTCAATTCATTTAGTAGAAAATTCTTAGAAATGGAAAACTAGTTGGGAAGAATATATAATTTTAAATGATCATAAATGTCTCTAAAAGCAGATTATTCAGGAAGGTTGATTTGTTCTTTCCTAAATGCGGCTGGAATGCAATAAGAACAAAAGCTATAATGCATAAGAGCAAAGAGTTTGGGAAAGACATGAGCTGACCAGAGAAATTGAAAACAATTTTTTTTGAAAATATGGAAAGCACAAGGAAGGACAGAAAGCCATTGTTCAGAGAAGACGCTACCAGCTATCTAGCATGCAGAAGAGAAAACCAATGGAATTTTACAACCAGAAGCCATTGCAAGGTTTACAACTAACAAACACTAACTGCAGTGCAGAATGGGGTATGACAAGGGTAGAAACAGATGCATCTGACAAAATCTATTGTTAGAGCAGTTGGGTCTTCTGACTCCCAAGTCAGATAGTAACAATGTTCCATGAGCTAAAGCCTGGAAGCTCACACTATGGAGAGACTGAGAAGGAGGAACCCTGGATTCTGAAGTCCTGGACTTCAGTGAGGCTTGGGTCTTTGTGAAGAGGAACTGAGGGAAAACACAAAGAGAGCCAGCCTACTACCTTTCCTGTCCTCAGCCTCTTGCATTCTGCCATATCCCCTCCAGAGAAGGGTTTGGAAAAACTCACTAGAAAAGCCACACAGCCTTAGAATCATTCTTACATGAAGGAATCCTCAATGAAATGTCTAGCTGAATTATCTGTCAATCTATGTGAAAGTCAATAAGTGGAGTCTGTGATATATAAATACAAATTGAAAAGATGTTGAACAGAGAAATATTCTAGAAAAGAGAACAACATTTCATGCTATAGTAATTAGACCTTCCGGTCTTTTGCAATCTTCTGTAACAGAAGAAGTAATCAGAAAGTGGCCAGTTGCTTGAGTAGGAGCAGAGGTGATAATGCAGTGGTCTGCAGATGTGCTCTGTGAACCCTCAGGCTTGTATAACCCCTTGGATGCATCTGGCAAATTGTAATCAAATAAGAAAATACACTGAGGGCTTCTCATAGCTGGAAAAGGGTCTCACAGTTGTGAAATGGTCATAGATGGCAAAGAACCTGGAGGTGTTGGATTGGAAGGAGGGTGAGTGGAAGGAAATGCC